GAATTGACATATGTGCATAACTAGAGGTCATAGCAATTAATCACATAGACGTGGTAGTAGTAGAATAAATCATACACTTCTGTATAAGTTTGGCGAGAAACTTGGAAGATAATATGTGAAGTGAGATGAACTCATAGTAGAGAAATCATCCACCGCAACCTTCCCACCGTTTTATAATATATCAATGTTTCGACACTTCTCTTGATCTAGTATAATTGAACTTCCTCATGTCATTTTGACTCCTAATTTACAACCTTCCTCCTTCACGAAATATGATTCCATGAAGGAGGAAGGAATGATGTCTTTAATCACGCCAACACAATAATCAGTGAAGTGGATATCTTGGTGTATATGCACATTTTTCTTTCAACATCCCAATATATTTTGTTGCTCTATCATTAATGTCACTGTGTAACAAGTGCTTGGCATTTGAACATCGATTTGAAGCACCGAGTCTGTGTCCCTTGTACTTATTAATACTCTAGTCAAGTATCTTTCAATAATGGAAATTTTCTTAGTATGTCACAAATCCTACTTGCAAAATTATTGTTTATTGTGAAGATCTGCAACTTTACAATAGACTTAATATTTTCAAAGGATGATTGAATACAGACTCCAACACTACTTAATCGAACTTTTATGCCAAATTCTGAAGTCTATCATTTAGCCATTAGCGGATAGATGCTGCTGAAAAAACTCGACTTTGAAAACTTGGACTTTCTCACTATCAATTGGCCTCACATCACCGTCGACTTCGTGAAAGCAATAGAATAGTTGCTGACTTCTCCTATAAAGCTTTCCCATCCTTGAGTCAGCCCAGCCAAGATAAATATTTTATCACACAATCGTCTCGACTCGTTCTCATACTTCATGATTCTCAATGTCAGCTAAAGAAGGTTTTGTTTATAATTTTATATTTACACCTCAATCATTTCTCATTCTCTCGTTATAGAGACCGATCGATCTCTCTCGGCCCATACGCCTCATTCTACCACTCGACTGCAGGACGAAGAAGGACATAAGGTTCTCGACCGCAACGGCGAGCGTCGATCTTCATCCATGTGTCGATCGATCACATGGTATAGTCGTGAGAGATACTCGTTCGTATCGGTGGAACATCATGGCGTTGGCGAATTTACTCCGGTCGTTCGTTCCTTCCTCATTGAAATGGGAGATCAAGTCGTACAGCTTCGCAACAGATGCCTCATGCTGCATTCGTGACGTAAGACATGCACCGTCCCGTTTGTAAAACATTTACGCAAGGGCGATGCCAGGGCTATCACCAATCAAGTCGACCGTCTGCCATTCAATCTTCGAACTATCTCACATCTCTTCTCGATGATGAAAAAGCTCCCTTTCCACATTTAGAACCATAAAGCTTTACTCACCACTTTAATTTCATTTGGAATGATCTTTAAGTGTAGGGTCGAAATGAATCCAAAACATTGTGATTCAACTATTGTACCTGATGTGTGCACCAATGCCTTAATAGGAAGGCAGATAAGTTTCCACCTAGTTCGCCAGGTATTTGTATAATTTAGCACCCTGCTACGTATTACAAATAGTTATAGCTGTATGTGGAAGTATATTCTACATTAAATGTATAGTATACTTGAACGGAACAAAGAGAGCATGACTATGTTATGGGTCCCTTTCCTACTGTCATCTTTATCCTTTCACGTGGAAGAGATTATTTTCTTGCATCATTACATTTGAAGTTCATGCGTAACATGCTTGAGTTCTTCCGCGCGGGTGAGTTAGCCGCCTAGAGGTTTCTACGATTCACAACGAAGTACTTCTTGGGAAGAAAAGAGTATTTGGAAAATCAGACTGAAATGTTTTACCCAGAATGTTATTTTGTTTACTTCGGTTATTTCAGGGCCATATTGGCGTGTTCATGTCTATTCCACCATGATATTGAACCACTTTTGGCAGAAAAGTACTAGTTCTAAGCCTTTGAAATATCTTTTGTATATATCTATACACTATTTTCTAACTTTTGATGTAGATAGTGTGCATAACATTTTTTCTACACCGCGATTCTTGGAGTTGAGGTCGAATGCCATGGAACCCGCTTGGTAACGATTGATGGGTCCTCATGTTACTGGTCCACTTTCTCATATCGATGTATGCATGGTACATTCTTTGTGTTTTGACAGAAAATCTGGTTGTAAAGTAAAATCTTGGAATACTGTGATGTCTGATGTATCAAATTTCTGCGTACACCTGCACATTCGATCTAGTTGCCATCCACTGAGTAATGATTCGCTCATTGATTTTGTGTGCCTTTTTTGCCCGTACTATCCTAGCATGATTTGATGGTACTTCTCATTCCTCTATAAAGGTGATGAAATTTAAAACTTGTATAGTTGTTTCTTTAAATTATACTCGTAGATACCATCAAAATATACAAAATATATCTTTTAGTACCAATCAGTCTTTCTAGTTACTAAATCTTTCCTAACACTTTTAAGGTACATCTAGCTCTACTTGGTGCAATTTAGAAGTGAATAACTTCATTGGAGTATGACATTTGTACCAAGTAATATCTAAAGTTTAGTCAAGCGCTTAGTTATTCTTCACTTAGGGCTAATTAGCCCTTGTTCTATTATACGAAATTTTCTCATTGGTCAATGCAATATACGCAGTTCTCTTATTGGTCGATGCAAGGTAGTAATAGATGTAGCAACTATAGGGTGCTCGACCAATCAGATTAGACCGTATACTATAGAGTAATGGCTAAGATGCCCTAAATGAGGGATAATTAGCTCTTCCCTATCTACATTCTCTCATGACACTGTAGTGTGTATGGTATTGTATGACACAATAATTATTTGAAACTTCTTTTTCTTTTTTTCTTAGACTTCTTTGATATCATCTTTGTACAATTTCATGAAATATTTTCATTTTGATATTTCTTTGAGATTAAATTCTATAGACAAGTTTGAGGTAAGAAAATTAAAAAGGGATAGAATACAAAGCAATATAAAATATAAATTTTATAAATTTCAATATATTGTGCCATTTTGGTTAATTATTTATTTGATTTTATGATATTTAATCATTCTATCTAAATGAAAAAACTATTAAAAATATTTTCCTCCCAGAACTTCCTTTTTTTTCATAATTACATAATCTCAAATATGTACATGAATGTACAAAATGAACATGATTACATAAATAGAATTAATGGATTTTTACTGTGATTTATTGATTTGATGAAAGATAATGAATATTAATACATTGTGTTTAATACTGTATACTTTCAATAGACTAATCTATATTTCTGATAATAATTCAAATTTCGTTCAAGTGATTGTTCCAAATAATTCTCTGGTTCATTCGAAAATTCAGATTGGTGGATAGAACGACTTAAAATGTGGTTTAGCTGATCTTAAGCGAGAACGGGCTTAGAATAGCCTGTCTGCAGGTCAGTTTTGATTATTATGTACAATGGTATAATATGTCTCGGTGTGTAAACATTTTCTTTACATCTAAAATCCATATGGTATTTGGATTAGGAATACATCTATAAAAATAATTTGGGTTGATTGGCCGGTCCTGAAGATCCTGAAGCAAGGGGTTGAGATTTGGTCGTGTCATGGATAAATTGTCGTTAGTCCCTTTCATAAAATAAATGGGGTACATGGTTGAATCAATGGCGACATGTGGAGGTATTATGTAATAGCTGTTCAATGTTAGAGTCTTCGGGGTTGTGAAACTGGAGGGCCTCAGAATGTAAAATATTGTATCTACGTGGGAGTGAGACGTGAAGATTTACGAGTAAACTTTAACGAAGGGAAACAAAACCTGCCAAACTTGGTTGGCAAATAGATTTTTGTAGGCTGGCAGCGCATGACCCATGAACCCGTTCACTACATGGATTTTGAATATCCTTTACGAGTGTCTGGAAAGCTCCACTTAGTTGTCTAATTGCACGATCAAGACCTTATCCATAACATCCACTTTCATAGCACTGTTCAAAAATCATGGACATTCACTGTCAGGCTTAGCCTGACCTGTTCATTACAATTGCTTTGTAACGAATTTTAGGTTTGCCTTGATGGAAAGGCAACTTGAACAACCTCGAAAAAACTACAGGCACAAAGTATTGTGCCTCATGATGAAACGAGACCTTATGAAAACGTTCAGAGTTTTGTAGATTCTGGAGGAAGCAGTGTCAATTACCCTTTTTTGCATGGGACGTGCATGCTAGCGCTTCTTCTTCTTCTTGCAGTTTATACTGCTCGTGAATAAAACCTGAAATCAGTCGTGAGATTTCTCGACTTTCCAATTTTAAATGTCCTTCTTTTCCTCCTCTCGACGGAAGTCAAATCGAAGAGCTGATTGAAGCCCAAACCGTATCATTCACATCGATCAGAGAGCGGTGAAAAACTTTATGGATCAGCCAGGCCATGAGCACGAGGGAATTTCACTATCAGATCTACTACAGCTCGAGCTGTGCTCACGAGCACGACAGATATGGCAGACACCTACAGCGGAGTGAACGTCACGACGGTCACGATCACCAGCGCCGCAAAGCGGGAGAACCTTCGATGCACAAGTGAAACATTGCCGACAAGCGTCCGGTCTTCCTGAAGAGCGGCTCGTTTCTGACATCCGCAACCCTCTAAGCGTCCCGAATCGACTCTGAGCCATCGCTGCTCAAATCCAGCGAAAACCTCATCAGACTCTTCCGATGTCGGAGAAATGCACTGTCCTGTCGCCGGGCCTCCCAACAGCCATGGATCGTATGCCAACCCTCCATGCGCCAGGCGGCCTCCCAGACGGAGACCTGTGAAGAGATCCTGGCCCAGGAACGGGGAGGGCGTCGGAATGTGATGTCAGCGCCGAAATGTCGGTCACTGGCCGAAGCTGGACTTCGAGGGCGGGTCAAAGTGTGATTCACGTCGGTCGACGTGGAAAGGAGGTACAACGAGACTGGGAAGAGCTCCGGGAGCAAATGGACTGCAGTCGCTTACCCTAACGACAAATGCAATCGCGGCGGGAGGGGAGGCGATGGGAGGGAAGTGTCAGCACTGACACCTTAACCCTTGGTTAACCAGAGAGGGCCCGTTGGGGGCCGCTTGCGCGCACGGCTCCTCCCGTCGATGGATGCCTCGAATGTCCGAGCAGAGCAGGGGCTGGCGTGCGGGGCCACCGGCTCCTCGGAGCGCAGCAGCAGCAGGTTCCTCCTGCTCGAGCGCGGCACGCAGTAACGAAGAAGAAGATGGAATTTGGCGAGGAATAATGTGCAGGCGAGCAGGGGATTGGGGTGTGAATGTGGAGAAGAGAAATTCGTTGTTTTCATAGGCTTATCTCCCGCGCACGGCGGTGGCACAGGGGGTGGAAGGCTGGCTCGAGGACAGGAAAGTGGCGAAAAGACAGAATTTCTTTTGGACGAAGATGATGGCGTCTACGCCGGATGAGTCTTGCAGTCGGGGTTTAGAAATGGAAGCGATGGCGAGCGAGGACGATGTCGTGCACCGAGCGGCCGGTCTCGTGATGGACGCCATGGCGAGCGAGGATGATGTAGGGATTTGTGCCCAGCCGGAGTTCGTCAAGAATCACGACAGGATCAGGCTCGACCTCGGCAGCGCGAGAGAGCGTGGAGATGCGGAGATGGCGTCCACTCCCAACGAGTCTTGCAGCCAGGGTTTAGCCGTTGATGGTATGGCCAGTGAGGATGATGTGCACAGCCAGGGGTTAGGAATGGATCCCATGGGCAGTGACGACGATGTGGGTCTGGGACGCGAGCCCCATGTCCTGGCCGAGCAGAAGCACAAGAAACCCAAGCTGGACCCAGAGGGTGGAAAAGTCAAGGACAGAGAGGAATGGAGCGACGGAGCAATTTCCAGCCTGCTCGATGCGTATGAAGAGAAATACACGAAACTCGATCGCGGACATCTGAAAGGCAGAGACTGGGAAGAGGTTTCTTCCGTCGTGAATGGAAGATGCGGGGCTCAGAAGACAGCCAAGGGTGTCATGAATTGCAAGTACAAGATGGACACACTCAAGAGACGCTACAAGGTCGAGAAGGATAAAAAACGATCCTCAGGCTCCATGAAGAGCCGGTGGCCCTGGTACGCCCGAATGGAGCAACTGGTAGAGCAAGGAGGCGACAAGATGGTAGCTGCCGAGGGCTCGTCCGCGGAAGACGAGGACCATCTTCATCCAGGCATTGTCACGTTCATTCTCCGTGTAATTACACCCGCAGAGCGCAAAACAAATGTTTGCATGATTGGTCCGTTTTTACCTGTGACAAGAACGTAGCTCGCACCTCGTACAATCCGATATCCGAACTGACATCACTGACTGACACCCTCCCGAAAACTACACCGTGCAAGTCTGTCCACCTAATCCATGTTCTGGTCTGCTGCTTGTGCCGACGGGCTCCGAGTGTGAAAATGACACGACAAATTCGACACTCCTCTAGATCCTCCTCGGCCCCATGCGGCCCAATTTCACCCAACCGCATACGGAGACGTCCGAACCCTGGAATGCTTGTCCGTGTCCACCCCGACAGAGTGATCGACGATCAGACCCGGTCAATTTGTAAGCTTGCTAGATCAGATAGCTGTCAAATCAATTCTCTCCGCCGAGGAACTCCCTCGGGCTCTCTGACCAAAAAGGCTCGACCATCGTCGAGTTCGGAAGAGAAAGAAACGTCGAAGCAGATGCGGATGTTCGCGACGGAGCGGACGCAGCGGGAGAGGTAGACACGGCTGCTCCCCTGACTAACGTTGTGGTTAGCGCCACGGGCACCGCAGGTCCCGTCCCGGCAACTCGCCCCTGCGGTTCCTCTAACAGCGGTAGCGTGAACAGCCGCAACGTCAGTCCTCGTGAGCCGGACGGCACTCTCTCCCGGGACCTCTAACTTAGCCCCCAAAATCTCCGCTAAGGATTTACCGCGGAATTTAGCGGGAAGTTTGGTGAGACTCCCGCAGGGCTCCTTTCTCTCTGACAGTATGAATGTGTGTTGGCGCCTACGATGTCAGACCCTCGGCTCCCATCGCGCCTGTGGGCGCTGAGTACGTTGGAAACAGACGTTGTGAATTTTGATTCAACTCATTGACCGCGGAGCTATCGTCGCGTATCCCCCCTGCCATTCACGGAGAAACCTATCCGTGCATGGCCTGCCGTCGTCCTCTCTGATCTTCTCTGGAAATGTCAGTGGCCATGCGTGTGGCAGCTCCAAAGGTTTGCTGAAAGATCATGGTGGTTCATCTCAATGTTCGCTCAATTTAACTAACTTTCGAAGGGGTTGGCTATAGTTCGGGAGATTGTGAATCGGACTCGATCTGATCGGAACCTCCACAGAATCCGTCTGTATCGAGCTCGGGCCTATGCGAATGAACAGGTCTTTCTTGATCTGACTAGAGGACTCTGAAACGCGCTGGTCAGCTCAGCTGTTGACAATGGACTCAGTTTTCCTGACCATTTCTTGTGGAGTGCACATCCTGTCGAAATGGCACAGCCATTTCTCTGGATTGGCTCCGTGCTTTCGAATTTTCTTGTGCCGTAGACCTCTATGATGAGCTGGTTGCAAGACATACGATTGGGTTTCGAATTGCTCCTGAGCCCACATGAAATCACGGTCCAGATGATGTGGTGGCTTCTGGCATTTGCCCGTGTTATTGTCCTGCAGTGGCTGAATTTGAATTCTGACATCACGCAGCTAGTGAAGAATTTGAATGAAGATCCCCAGCCGATGATAAGTACAGAGTCAGGGTGAGTTTGATCAGCGCGTATCTGGGACTAGTTCAGACTGGTAGCCCACATTGTAGACTTGCCTTGCGTCGTGCTTTGTAACCCAACCGGATTTCGTCCGTTGCAAATCAAACGGACAAAATCCGTTTGATTTGCAACGCACTGATAGCAGTGCAGATTCACCCAACCTAATTTGTATTATTTTGTTTGGTTTGCATTGCTGATGTTGTTAAGGAGTAAGCTATGCATTTTTTGTGCTTACATATGTAGGTCTGATGATGAATATATACAATCTTACAGCAGGGACCAGCGACTTGCCCTCGGCGGAAGCGAAACCGAAGGTGTCGCAGTTACTAGGATTTCCCTCTCCAGCGGTTAAGCGTCCCTACAGAAAGAGGGCAATTGAAAGAGGCATCAGTAGAGCTTTGAGCAGGAGCGTTAGATATGAACATACGGTCGCTGGTATTAAGCTGGATCCACGTACTATGACCCAAGGTTAGTAATGTCAAGAAATATTCGCTTGTCTTGCCTTCCAGATCACTCTTTTGTTGTACACAGTGCCACCACATTTGTAAATCTTGGATATAACCATAGTGGATGGTAGACCGTGGTACTCAAGGATTTGCCGTTCTTGTCACAAATTAGAACTTTGTAATAAAGAAAGGATGTCAGGGAGTCATTGTTCCTGTTTTGAAACTGTCTATCACAGATACGTGGGTGTTCATGCACGCAACAAAATTCATCTCTATAGGCCTACATGATTATTACCGATTTCTCCTCCTGCTTTAGTTTTCAATATTGCGCACCAAGAAAGCTTAAGCGGCCGGTTTGTTGAACAGATTAGCTTTCAGATCACTAAAGTCATATAATTTGGGTTACCTCCTTCGTGATGGCTCAGTGTGAGCACAATTTGCTTGGATGTCAATCTTTTGTAAACCACAAAACAAAGACCTAAGCCTTATCCACATAAGTTCTGTCGAGTACAGCCTACACTCTTCTGACACCGAGTTGTTTAAAATATTGGTCGTCGCTTTGGCTTGACAGGTGAAAGGGAGTCTTATGAGCTGTTTGACTTGGGAGACTTTCCATTGAACGAGGGTGCAACGCTTAGAGGAGCAAAGCTTGCTTATAAAACCTGGGGCTCACTTAATGAAGACTCTAGTAACGCCATACTTTATCCCACATGGTATTCTGGTAGGCACTGGGAGAATGATTGGTTGATTGGACCTACGATGACTTTGGACCCGTCAAAATATTTCATTATAGTTCCGAATATGTTTGGCAACGGTTTATCAACATCACCAAGCAATTGTTCTCCTCCTTACAATCAAGCCCGTTTTCCAAAGGTACAGTTTTTTTGTAGACATTGTGAAGAGTCCGCTTTAAGATTGGTATTACGTTTTGCACCTCTTCTGAACCTTGTTCACACTACTAGTGTTGCCAAGGCTACACTTGTATGCTAACCAGGCCAGTAAAAGAGTGGATGTAATTTGGCGCCGTCGCTTATGCCCCGAGTCTATGGTCTCTTGGCTGTGGCCGGCAAATGCTGTTTTAGTTTGATTTTAAGGTACTTGCGTTTCTAATATTTGTTTTTTCTGTTCTTTGTGACACTTAGTCTACTACATACATGGCTTTCAGCCCTCTTTGTTTTGTGTACAAATTCGTCATGGCCTGCCGGAAACTAACATTGGCCTTATCGACCGACTTGTTATGCAGGTTACGGTTGAAGACAACGTCAGAGCTCAATATAAGTTGGTGGTGGAAAAGTTTGGAATTAGAAGACTGAAATTGGTATTAGGATGGGCGATGGGTGCCGGACAAACTTTCCAATGGGCAGTCAGCTATCCTGATATGATGGAGCGCATCCTTCCTTTCTGTGGTTCTGCTCGAACTAGCCCTCACAGTGTTGTATGGCCCTTCCTCTCATTTTCAGTTTGCTTTAAAAAAGAGACTAGTATGGTGGGGCACTGGGTCTTGATGGGAAGGGAGAGATCAGTAAGGTCCTGCTTCTGTAGACTGTGAATGCATATTGACCTGTTGTCACATGATAGCTCCGTGCTTTGTTCATGTCCTCAGGATGTCAAAAAATTTGGAACAAATTTATGCGTCTCTTACTCCATAATGGTTGATACTGAACAGGTTATGCTCGAAGGAGTCAAAGCAGCGTTGACGGCTGACATTGGTTTCCAGGATGGTTGGTACAAAGAAATTCCATCGAAAGGTTTGAGAGCTGCTGCAAGAGTTTATGCAGGTTGGGGATTCTCACAAGCATTCTACTGGAATGAGGTGAGTAAAGCATTTGAGTATTCTTAAGCTACGTCGAGATTTAGGAATGTACTATGGAAGTTATTGTGGCTGTTTTGATATTCATCTACACCGCATTAAAACTGGCTAAGCGATGTATGCAGCTGTGGAGAGATATGGGCTACACCAGTCTCGAAGACTGCCTTATTGGATATTGGGAAGGATTTTTCCTGGACAGAAGAGACCCAAACAACTTGCTCACTATGCTATGGACTTGGGCAAATGGTAACGTTGGCCTTACGCCAGGATTTGACGGAAACTTGGAGAAGGCATTGGCTTCAATTAAAGCCAAGGCCATTGTAATCTCAGCAGAAAGGGACCTGTACTTTCCCCCACAAGATGAGGCATACGAAGTGAAGTTTATACCGAATGCAGAGTTCCGAGTGATGCCTGGCTTATGGGGCCATTTCGCTGGGGCTGGTATCAATCCTATAGACACGAAGTATATCGATCAAGTTATACGCGAGCTTTTAGCCACGTAGCTTGTACTTGTATTGTAGTTTTCATATCAATTTGGATGAGTCCAACTGGAGTCTGTTAAGCTTAGGAATTAAAATCAAGTTCTCATTCCGTCGTTCAGCAAGGGTGCGGTATTGTTGCTCGCCACCCTTTTCTAAGTCATCGTTCAGCAAGGGTGCGGTATCGTTGCTCGCCACCCTTTTCTAAGTCACACCTTCTCCTCACCTCGTGTGGAGAGTCCTTGTACATTTTCAATCTAGTCAAGTTCTTAAAGTAGGGAGAGTACATACGCTGTCGTAGTCTCCTTACTTCAAGAAGCTGGAGAAGGAGCAATTTAAACTGTCTGAACTAGCGACATTGGAGCCCTTCGAGCATGACCATGCCTTTTGTGTGGTTAGTGACTATAATTAGGAATGATAGCGTATGGGCAGATGTTGTTAGAAAGCTTCAGCAACTACCGTAGCGTCCCTTTTTGGGGATAGTGTTTACTCTGTAATATTCGTAATTACCATTACTCTTGGAATACAAAATGCATGCATCGACACGTTTCTGATATGACTGGAGTTTTATCACCTCCTAGTTTGTAAAACGACCGTAAAGAGATCTAACTGTAAATTGAAATTGTAACCACTTCAAGACAGGAATGTCCGGAAGATTTGTAATATTTTGGTTTTCTGTAAACTGCATGATTACTCATATCGTCCCATTGGCTGTTTTCACATTGAGGAGAGATGGCTTTCTCTGATGGAAAGGTGTAACTTCCTTGAACAGGCCTATGCGGAAGTCTTACAAAAAGTTCGTACGAGCTTATTGTTGACTAAAAACCCTAAAGCAGATGCTTTGGGATATAGATAGGGTCCTAGCCCCATCATTCTCAGACTACGAACATGTTTCTGCAGTAGAACGCGAAAATCAACATTTGTGAACGATGTTTGGAAAAAACTGTACAGTTTGGACGTACACTGAAAGGACAATCAATGATTCTCAAGTGTATCTACCAAATACACAACAATTTTGAAAGGTTATATGCAGGCAGTCATGCTTATATTAGTCAGTAGACTAAAATATCTAATTTTATTTAATGTTGTCTCATCATGAAAGTTAATTTAGGGCGGCTCTTAGTTTCTCACGAAGAAACTGTTCCAAATGTCATGCCTGGCAAGGCAACTCCGGGTGGAGACCTTCTATTAGAGTGCCAACATAATTTCTTCTTTTGCAGGACAAAGAAACTTGTTTAAAAGAATTTGAGTCTATATTCACAAACAATCTCATAAATTGCATTCAGCGTTACACCGAGGAGAGATATAGTCAAAATCTTCCTGATTGCTCGAAGTGCGGCTAGTATCTATTATAAAAATGCTTCGTAAAATGCACTCACTTCTAGGGATAAGTTCCATGTGGTTTTAGGCAACGCATTGTACTTACATCTCAAATAAATATGCTTCCAAGCATTCCAAGACATTTTGCATCCACATCGCATTATCTTTATTTATCGAACTAGTCTTTAGTATTTAAGATTCACCTACATACCTTTCATCTTGTCCATTAAGTTAGTTCACCAGTGCACATCGAACACCTCTCTCTGTTGGAGTTCACAATAGATTTGCGTTCTCGATAGACATGAAGTTTCTTTGCACACAGTCTAAGATTTCCATTTGAATCGGAATCCGGATTATTTTTTTCAATTTGACTCACATCACTTGTTGTGCCCTGCATTAAGTTCCAGCAGGCTCTTGCTTCCATTTTGCGCAAGTGCAGCTAGTATCTGGTCTGTAAGAGTTAAAAACCATTAGCACCAAATAGCAGCACTACTGAGTTAAATCTCCCAAAAGTGATATACATTGGTGCTAGGGTTTTACTACACTATTGAAAGTTAAAAACCATTAAACTTTCGTGAACTTACCACTAGTCAAGCCAACTTAAAGTTTTTTTTGGAACCAAATAACTGTGTACTCAAAAATCTAGCAAATTTTCCAAGAAGAGAGGGTCTGATCTTTGAACTCTTCAAACAATAGAAATAGGCTTGAAATATTCTGGCAAAAAACCAACGGTAATGAATGAGGCACGATAAAAATGGAAAATATAAAGATGTGGTCTTGATGTAAGTTGACAAAACTTTCGATATGATAATCGGATGTGAATGCCAAAGGCACAGTACAGTGTCTTTGATGAATAAGATAACATCCGATTCAGATCATATAAATGGAGGGAGACATAATATATTAGCATTAATTTAGTCTCCAAAGTGAGAATACATTTAGTTAATTTAGGCGCTCGCCGTAATGTTGCCTAAATTAAGCATGTATGGCTATACTATCCACACTATTCAATTGTACTCAATTCAAACACAAGTATGTGTATAAATTTTCATACTAATGTCTTGAGGTTGCAAATGTCCAACATCAAGAAAATTGAAGCCATATAGTTGATGTTGTGTGTATCAAGGATATATATATATATATGAAATGATATATATGTAGGGGGGCTACACTGGGTTTACACCAAGGCTAAGTTGAGGGCATATTCATCGCCCAGTTCTTTCGCATGTGCAAAAATTTTCATCCAATTAAAATTGTTCACAGTTCTTATTACTCATTGATTGTCTATTCTCTTCAAAATGATTTTTTACTACTAATACTATAACTTTACTTAATATTTGATTTTACAAAAAGTCACATTTCTAGATCTATCTTATATGTTTGTTACATATTACATGATTATAAGTACATAATCTATTCTCATACGCTAATCTTGTGATAATGGGTTATAACTCAACTATATACACTCATGAACTATGGATTAAAAACATTTCATTTCCTAAAAGATATAACTCTATTTCATAATTCAGTATAGTACTTGAAAGTTTCATCATATTACAATAGATTCCAAAACAAAATCTACTAACATCAAAATATATTAATCACAAAAAAATTACAAATCATTTTTTATTTAACTTAGATGAAATTTCACTCTTGTTTCAGCAACAAATCAGCATTGATCAAGATGTGGTGAATATAAATATTTTTAGATTGTGGAAAATGTCAAATGACTTGGTATTTTATACTTTCTTCAATTTTAATTACATTTCACTAGGTAAAAATCTATCATGTGTTGTGATTTGTAATGCTTCTGTCAATTATCAATAAATTTTTTTGGACTAAAAAATTCATAAATAATCGTGTCAAAGGAAATCATATGTTGAAAAATTCGATTGAATGTAGCATATTATATTGATGAAATGAAATTTTATTACGGCCAAAATTAGATTAAATTGATTTAATCTATTGTATTTCATTTTTTCTATCTCTTAGTTTGATATATTTATTCATACATCTTCATATAAGCCAATGGATGTATGTATGTATATATATATGCGTTTCATCTTAATGCCTTAATGTTAGTAAAACCACATGATGTCTTTGCTGTAATTTCTAATCATGTCACATAATAATTTGATTAGCTATCATATATATATATATATATATTTATTTCTCCAACAGATAATAGTTAATCAAGATGTAATTTTCTTTCTAACATATTCACGCAATTATAGATTATTGTAGAGGCAAAACACGAGAGTAAACAACAACAAAAAAAACTAGAAAGCACCATACGAGAGAACACTAGAGATACATGATTCACGCATCGGGGTTACGTTCATGAGAATCTAATGTTAATGAAAATCCAAGACGAAGAGACACTTGCCTTCCCATACTTATTATGGCAGCTAATACATGATTGACGTTAACTAATTAAACTCGAAGCAAGAATTAAACTTAACAATTATGTCAAGACTAGCAAATTTATCAATATTTATAACATTGACGTGGTTAATAAAACCCATAAAATTTGCTTTTTTTTGAAATACTGAATTATACCTTTTAAAATATCTAAATCATGTATAAATAATATTATTACAAATTTTTTTTCAAAATTCGATTTTTTTTATAAATTACATCTCAAAATAGTATCAATAAGAACTAAAACTAAATCATATTAAGATGTATTAAAGATGTTAAAGTACACAATTTGGATGTAATAAATTAAACTTTTATGTTGAAATGTTGAAAATAATGCTATATAGATTAAATATTTTAATTTTAATTTTAATTTTAACTGTGACATTCAAATTAATTTATTTTTTAGATACAATTTTTCATTTTACTCGCAGATTTTTAACCAATTCACCTTAGAGTTTTCGATATATTGAGTTAGAATTGAAAAGTCCATTTGTTTGTTCTAACAATTAATATTGGTTGAGAAATGAATGAACAAAAAATTTGATAAAAGAAAAAATGAAAATTTAAGTTGCATCTTGATTATTTTTTATCCACAAAAATTAAAATCAATTTTTTCTGAAATTCCACTGGATTATACGCCAAAATTTGCTGTAAAACACGATATATGTTGCTTCATCTAATATTTTTTTAATTTTAAATTTAATAATATTTTTTTTTTCAAGAAATAAAGATTAGTATAACATGGAAAATAAAATAAATAATTAAAAACTACAATCTATAAGCTTAACATCTTCTAATAAAATTGAGTGTGTACTCTCTATCGATATATTTAAATGTTATGATAAGAATAGAGTAAATTACTTGATGGGATATAACAAGTTTCATTTTATCATATGGAACCCACTCCTCGGACATGCAGCCAATCGTCAACTATATTTTAATAGAAGTTTTTTTATGTTCTAATTTGATATATAGTGTGGGGAGTGTCTCACGATGTTGACCAGAATATAATGGCGACTCGTTAGTAGCCATGTCTTTAAAAACTACGGGCACCATGAGTCCGAAGTACTCCCGATATGATCTTGCGAGGACTTCATCTTTCTACCTGAAATAACACCAAATCCTATTGGAACATCACTGAGAGTGGGCTGCAGGCCGTGTATGGGTCCATCCGCTGAAATGAAACCTATTGAATGGTATAACTAATTTTCTCTAAGAGATACAATGCGATAGTTATTAGAATTATTTATTCTCAAACTAACTTGAGCAATGAGCAATGTTTTACATAGACTTTAGTTAATGTTATGTGACGTAGCATATGAGAGCTCTCATGTTGTTTGTAGACTGTTTGATCTTGACATTTTAGATAGAGTAGAGGTTATAGGACAGATACTCTCATAATGTAATTATTGAGGTCTATTGTCCATTATTATCTTGATTTCTAATTTTTGTGGGTGGCTTGCTGGGTTATTCCTATCATTATCTTATACTTGTGTCCCCACTTTCACTTATTCAGGTTTTGCAAAAATAATTTGCAGCTAGAAACCTCTCTCTGAAAACCTTCAAAAGTACAATATACCTGATTTTCACATTTATATTGGTTTAAGCAATCGGAAAGCTTACTACGATGTTCACACTTATCATGTGAACGTGATCGTACTTATAGATATTATGGGAATGTCGAAAGTTGTGTGTAATGACCATTGAAGTAAAGGGTCCAACATCTGCAGCATGCTATTTCTGTGCGGGAGTAAGATCCAGGTTTGCATTCATGGAGGGTTAATGTTTTTTACTTAGAAAACTTGTCCATTCTGACGGTTAATTCTGAGCACAATAATATATCAAATTTATTCAAGTCAACTCCAAGTTGCAATTCAACTGCCGATGAGATTAACAAGTCAATGTTGTGCAGCTTAGAGTAGTTCCGGATAAAATCGGGAGAAATAGAAGCTTCTCTTCAACGGAACAGCTCAGTTCGAGAACCTAGAAGAAAATTGTTGTAGCAATGTGGATGCGCCGAGCATTCCTCAAGTGAACATTTCAAGTACATGAGCTCTTGAAGTGAAAGTGCGGATACCTTAGGCGCAGCATATAAAATATTGCGATGCTATTGGAACGTAGCCTGTCTGCCCGATTTCCATCCACGTCGGACTTTACAGGCAACTCCCATCCTTCTGCTGCACTCCTTTGTTTCCGTTCTGAACATGATGGATACACATGACACATCTCGGATCACGCTAAGAGGACACTTGGCACACTTTCCGCTAACCAATTTGAATTCCACTTTTCACTGCAGGACGATGGTCATTGGTAGTTGTCATCAGCACGATTGTCGTCGTACACAATTTCTTACAAGAGGTCCATAGCGCTACAACTCGGAAAAAGCATTCCATATGTTCTTATAACGAACACAGTGCCATGGTCCGTGTTCAAAATGCTGTGCTGTTTCAATTGGCCACCGGGGTCTGCTGGATCCTGTGAATCGACGGCTCAAATCACCTGGCCCCCTCGATGTGGTCTTCCCGTCCTTTTTGGTCCCCCCTCTTTTCTTTTCCTGTGTTACCTGGAGGATTTTGACCTATACCCGCACTCCTTTGAGATTGCACTAAAGGATGCCGGGTATAGGTCAAACAGTGCAGCTAGCGGATGCCTACGTGTTACGAATCTAAGGTCGATGTGGACGCCACTTCACCAACTTCCGCACAGTCGTTTCTTCGATTTGACACTTTCAGTACATGCCATCGGCAAACCTCTTCGTCGAGGCGGGAGCCTTTCGCGGGCGCTCTCGCGAGCGCGGGTCTGGCCAGCTTCTGGCCGAGACTCTCGGCCAGAAGAAACCCGATGCGTCTCGGCCCGAGACGCACCGGGTCATGGGACCCACCCGCTTCGTGATTCAATACCGGGCTGGGTGGCCGGAGTTCTCACACCGGCCCGACTTCGGATTGAGTTTCGGCCCGGGCCAGTTATGTAAAACGCGCAGAACGGGGTCGTTCCGACAAGTCGAATTTGAAGGGGTCTGTTTGGCGCTCCCACCTTCTTGCGCTCACCTCCGCTTTGAATCGGGGTCATCTCAACAGTCAGTCCCGTTCAGAGACGACGGCCCCGTAACGTCTGAACGGGACTAGCCAGCGTCTGACAGGGTTCCACCTCTCCCCGGTCGATCCATCGGCACCATCCAACGGCTCTGGGCAATCAGAAGAGAATCCGAGAGATTCCTCAAGGCTCGGTCCGCATTTCAAAACACGAGGTTCAAGTGAAGAACCACGCGAGCGCCGATCTCTGACGGAGACGGAGACGGAGTTCGTGCCAATTCCCGTAGAGGGTCCCCCAAAAGTTACCATGGTCAGCGGGGGAGTTATGAAGTGGACGTTGTAGTCGCGAGGGTCGAAGGCGAGGGAGGGAGATTCATTCCTCGAAGGCCATCGTCTTCGTGCGCTTGTCGCCTCGAGGTACACCGCCGCGGGCTTGTCCGTCCGTGTGCGCACATTTCGTCAGACGGACGGACAGACGGACAGACGGGTTCGCCCGAAAGTTTAGAGTCGTGTCCGCGCCGTCCGTTAGAGGACTTTTCCCCGGCTTTTTTCCGCGCGCTGCTGGTGGCGCGGGCGCGGACGCTGGCGCTGGCGGGTGCAGGAGCCGGACGTTGCTCGGCTTTATCTCCCGCGTAGACGAGTTTTGACCTCGGCGTGTGTCGATGGAGGGATCGTTGTCAATGGGAGGGTCATAATTGCGCGCTCGTGCGGACCGATGCTCATGTGGCGGTGGCGGGAGGACGAGCAAAGCCTCGGCATGTTTCCACGTTTCAAATTCTCGTGCTTCTCTTCTTCGCCTTCTTCGTTCCGCACACGAGCTTTGTCCTCGTAGGCTCGGCCTTCCGCGCCAGCCCAGCCCGGCCCCGTCCACCCGGCCACCCGTCCTGCGCAGGCCGCCTCCACATTTGGCCGATGGATGATGGCAGGCGCTGCAGAACTATCTCGTGCGGGCCTGCGTCCGAGTCTGCCTTCGTTGCGACGTGATTCAAATTCGCCGCCGGGCGTTCCCCGTTGCGCAGCATGTCTGCGGGAGCGCTGTGTCCCACTCCCGCCCTCCGTGGAATGCATTTACCCGCCTCCAACTTCAAGTTGCCAGGCCTCTTCTTCTTCCCCGCTCCTCGCCCCGTGAATCATCGTCTCCGAGGAGACATATATCCGTCAGCGCCGGGAAAAGGCGCTCTTTCCTCTCCGCTGTCCCCTTCTCCCTGCCATCCTCGCAGCATCACCTCCGCACTGCTTTCTTTCTCACCTCTGCGACCGCATCTAATGAATCCAATTGTCGTCCGGTTTTCCCTCACGAGCCTCGTTCACTGCGAGGCATAGCTCCTCGCTGCGGTCTTTTCCCGCATCGAACTCTCCGGATGATGGCCTTTCGAAGATCCGATGCTGAATTCTTACGATAGAGATTGGTAGCATTCTGAGAGGTTTCGCCCGAACGCTTTGAATTTGTGACAGAGGCGCGCGATACAATCTCTCTGCTGGCTGACTTCTCGCTGAAGCCATCAGTATTTGGCGGTGGTTGCGTATGGGCTTAGCACTTCCGCAGTGACAGTCCAACTCTCTGAATTAAAATTTACGGGCACGGCTGGAAGCGCATTCAGATTCGTCACAACAGTACGCTCACGAATTCTGCGTATGCTGCTTCGGGTTTAGACGTCGAAACAGGGAGTGCTCGGCTTCGAATCCTTGGCATGGATATCCAGGATTTCAAAGCATGAAAACAACGGGATTCACTCTTCTACGAATCTAGTTCGAATCACCGGTTAGAGGATTGGGCCTCGCCGCTTGAAGGCGCCAGTTTCAATATGCGTGTAGAAGCTCCTGTACCTCTCATGCATCCAGCCAAGGTACGCTACGCGGACTGCTTAGAAAACAGCAGTAGCAGCACAGAGGTTTCTGGCTGCAAAGGGAGACCGTTCGGATCGAAACAGATCCAGCCACCTAGATCAAGATGTGAGACAAGTGAGGAGCTGTCGCATCCTTCAATCCCTGAAATGGAGAACAGGGGGCCCTCAGACGGAGAAGCACGGATGCAAGCTTCATACAACCGTAAAGACAAATCTCTCGGACTTCTGTGCGAAAAGTGAGTGCCCTGGACATGTGTTATGCTTTGAAATTGGTCGCCGAAACCTCATTTGCCAGTTCCGTTTGCCATCAGATTCATCCTGTTTAACACCGTGAGTGAGAATTCAGCGTCGAAATTGTTGACCAAGTGGTCAGTTAGGTTGAAGAGTTTTCGATCCACGTTATTTCTGAAGCTTACTCTCGAAGTTCTGCGTTTTTTGGACATAGATTGAAACATGTAATCATTCCGCTTACCTTCTGCATCCTCATAGATAGAAAAATTCGGGTTTCGCTGCAAAAATGCAGTTGGCTGCTTAGCGCTCATTAATGTCAACGGTCGTAGCTTTTCATTGAGTTGAAGTCGGGAACAGCAGCCTCGGGTGTTTGGGGCGTTGCGCTACCTTGAGCGAATTCGATGCATAATCGTCTGAAAGAAAGGTTATTGTCTGCATATTGAAAACGTCTTCCAGTAATTTGTCTCCGAACTTTTATACTCGTTTCTTCAATCAAACTGTTTACAGAACTTCGAAGACGAAGTCTTCGAAGTTGGATCCACAGTTGCATCCACTGATGTCTTTTGAGTTGTATCAAATGTGATACTCCTGTTCAACTTCGATATTAGATAGAGCAAGAAAAGAATCCACGTTCCTGTCGCGTTTTGTTGTCCTTGCCTGCGCATCAACATGACAGAGCTCCCAAGTAGGTTCGAATCCTTTCGATACTTTTTTTGTCCACTTCTAAACTGCGAGGAAGTCAGGGCATGAACAATATCATCTCACGCCTTGTGATCCCTTGAATAGTTGTATTAGCATCTTCGATTGAATTTTTTATGCATTCCATTAAAACTTCTTGGTGTTCATGAAGTTGGTGAGATGTTTTCAGAAACGTGAAAACCTTGAACTAATCTTATAGTCTAAGTGCTTGGAAGTGAAGCCTAAGACGTTTGTAGATGACGCGGTTGGCGACCATGTCATTCACACAGAGAGAGAGAGAGAGAGAGAGAGAGAGAGTCGCACAATTTCCGCATAATTTTTTGCGTCTTACTAATTCCACCTTCCGTCGGAGTGATTGCGATTGTCATATCTGTTTGAAGGTTTTGGACCCACACGTAGCATTCGCGAATCTTTTAGCCCTCTGACACTGAACTATTTGTCAATCCCATTAGCGCTTGTCAGTCCACGTTCCAAGGATGATGCTTAGGACCTTAGTCGGCTTTCGTCAGCAGTGCCCGAAGGCCGTACTCAATGTTGCACATGTTCCTGACTGAAGCGCCATTTTTTGATTAAAGCTCACTTACGGGTCGTCTGGGAGACGCTATGAATTTCCGCTGGAATAATTTGTTTAGCTCCCTCCACCCCATGAGCCGTCCTGTCCACGCCACTGCAACATTCGTTTCCGTCGAGCAGGAGCTCTCCATTCTTCCTTTAGCTAGCAAATTTTTTTTATGACCCCTTGAACATAGTATGCAGAGGGCAAATTAGTGAATATCTGTGTCCTTCCAACACGCATTAGCGTACTTTGCTATATGTAGCACAATGTACATGTATTTGTACAAGCCATACGTAGCAAGGAGAAACATAATTGGTCCATCTTGTTGGCAATTTCTGCAACACTGTTGTGATCTAACCTGTACCGTAACATGCAGATTGACCCACTGTGTCGGAATAATCACATGTGTCTTTTTGGGTAATACGTTCCAAATGTATTCTACAACATTCAGCATATGGGCCCCTAATCATATGTACTACAAAGAAAAATCTGAGCTGGAATGCCACGTCAACTATCACAATTTTTGTCCAATCGAAGGTGATAGTTTTTTGTATGGGTCCGAGGTCGTGTCTCAAATGTCTCATGTTCCCTTTGCTTTCACCAATCCACCCAATTCACAGTCGAAGATTGTACCGGCAGGGAAGATTGTAAGAGGCTCGCTTCATAGTTTCAATCTGTAAAGGACATCTAGGACATTGCCCCGGTCATGTGTCGCAGGTCATCGTTCAGCCTTTCGTATATTGATGTCGTTGTCTCACCATCACCCAGATTTTTGTGTTCTATCCATCAACTCCACCATCAGAGATAAACGTGTATATCCCTCGTTAGGCTCAAGTTAGGCTCAAGTGCCTTTGAGAGCTTCACGAATTACTGAATTAACCTAAGTTTTTAAAACCTTGTAAGTTCACACTTCTAACATTGTGTCCGTTCTGTGGCAGCTTCTTAAATTTGTATGGGAATGAAAATGGTGAATGTATCAGTCTTGATGAGGCAGCCACACGTCTAGGTGAGCTCCTGCAACTTTCCTGATAGTGCATTCTTTCGGGCATAGTGTGTAGTGTCCTGGCGTTGTCAGACTGAAGGAAGCCCGAGTATGAAAATGTGCCCAGTGCACGATGAGCGTTAGTGAATTTTGGTTTAGTTACTTGAGATTGAGGGGCCTTTTTTAATAGATTTTTACCATTGGAGCTGTCCAGATACAGCTGCAAGTTTCAGATTGCCTGTGAACTCACATTGCTGTTCCCTCTTTTTAAGGTGTTGAACGAAGGCGAATATACGACATCGTCAATGTATTGGAAGGCATGGAGGTATGGGATGTTGAAGTACTCAAGATTTTATGCACCCAAGATTTGTCAGATTTTCCTAAACCCCTCTTCTTCATATATATGTGAAGCATCATCTTCCGTGTCGTGTCACTCGAGTCAATTTGAAGCGATTTATCACATCGAGACGGCAATGCATATCTTGAGTTTCTTTCAAGGTGGCCTAACTCATGAAAGGCTATATTGTGCAGATTCTGGTAAGAAAAGCTAAGAATCGTTACACATGGCATGGTTTTGCCAGGCTTCCACAAGCGCTGCAAGCGATGAAGGTAATAATTGGAAGCAACGTTTCTAAAGCGTACAAATGTGATTGTATGCATCACTTAGTTCCGAAATCTGGATTTTGCGCTGCCGAATTGTCTGATTAACGATTGTTGTTACAATCCTGTAGGAGGCGGCTTTACGCGAGTATGGTCTTGACGGCTTTCGCGGAACTGCAGCAGCCACCGAAGAGAAAGATGTAGGATAAGAAATAAACTTTGAAATCGTTAAAGCATATCTCAGTACTTCGGACATCTGATGTTTCGAATTTGATGTATAAGACTGCTCATCAGATCATTTGACGTAACAGGAAGCAGGCTCATCTGGCGACGAAAACAACTGCGTGAAGACGAAAGGACTCTCGTCGTGCAAGGCTGGCAAGTCTTCCAATGACTCATATAAGAGCAGTCCGTCTTCACCTTTTTCGGAAGCAGGCGATAGCCAGTGTGAACCGGAAGGCAATCATAATGAAGCAGTTTCCTCTTTACCTGATCAACGACACAAAGTTACAAAGGAGAAAGCAGGTTAGAGTCCTCTCCATTATGCGGATTTGCAATACAGTAGTTAGTTAATCATGACTCATGGGTAGAACTCTGTGAGTCATATCCCATGTCACGCCAGTGACCTTTCAATATCTATCACATTGACAACAGTCCCGTGAGTGGTATCTGACATGTTGACTTACATCAGATTGCAGGCGAGAGAAGTCCCTGGGGCTCCTGAGTCAGAAATTTGTCCAGTTATTTTTAGTCTCCCAGGTAAGAACCTCTTTTCCTTCCGCTCGTGTTTCAGCTGCGTTGCTTCCCAACCTGGATAGTAGCTGCGCTGTTTATCTAAGACTGGATCACACGTCGATTCCACGTGAAGAACCCAAAGTTTGTCGCAAAGTTGACCGGTCCCGTTACTGTCATGTCGTCAAAGATTTGGCTACAGCAGGGTAGATTTTGGTACCGAATGTGCTCGCCGACCTAACAAGATCGTGCACTCATACCTGCAGACCCAAATTGTGTCGCTCGAAGATGCGGCCAAAATACTTCTCGGTGACTCCACTGAGGCCTGCAAGCTTAAAAGTGAGTTCATTTTTTTGGTTAATGTAGGCTCGTAACCAGCAGAGGCTAAGCAAATAGAAGAAATTTCACACGATCATCATGGGCCCCAGTACATTGACGAAGTTCTAACAAATTCTGGATCTGGAATACAGCAAAAGTAAGAAGACTCTACGACATTGCCAACATCTTGTCCTCTCTGCAACTCATCGAAAAGGTAAAGTCGTTTTCATCCAACTCTTCTTGTCAGGAAGTTGCGGCACTAGATAGGACGTCTTTTTTTCAAGCCTTGCGAACTGAGACAGGAAACTAGAATCATGTAGATTTCTAATCTTGCTGTTTGCCATGTTACAGACACACATGACTGAAAATAGAAAACCTGCCTTCAAGTGGCTCGGAGCTAGCAGTGAAGGTGAAGTTCGAACCCAGTGTCCCCATCAGTGTTCACTAGCGCTTCTTTGTACATCTACCCGTTATCAATCACACGGGCGAGCTATCAAATTCGTGAACTAACCTTTTCTGTTATGCAGGCCAATTCTGCACCAAACGCGTATTCAGCAATCGTTTAACCTCTAGTAACTCAAGCGCTCCAAAGGAAAGACGCGGCCTCAAAAGGTCTAGCAGCAAGGGAGGTGAATCAGCTTATGCACAGCAAAGTGCCCCTAAACGACCAAACGCGAAGCCTTTGCAGGTCTTGCCTGTTAACGTCCCTATTCGGGAGAGGATAAACAAGCCTGTCCCAGTTTACCCTACAATGCCGCCGGAAATGTTTGCTAGGCGAGAATCGTTAATTCCTGCGGCCTTGTCATCAGGCTTGCCCAAAGGAGTTACTCTAGGTCCTGTCGGTGGTTGGAGAGAGTGGAATGATGGTGCAGCAAACAACAGTCCTGCCAAAGAGGTATCCAAGCAGCCCGATCCCGTGAGCACAGCGCAAACGTCCGGACATTGTTCCCCAAGTACGAGTGCTGCGAACTTAGTTCCCCCTCCCTTCCCGGGATGTCCTTGTGCACACGGAGGGTCAGTGGATAGAAACTTCCTCCCTGTCCTGCCCGCGCATTCTGGAATGTGTTTTCCCTCCTTCTGGCCCTTTCAAGCAATGCGACAACTGGTAGCCGGTTTTCAGTTTCCGCCCTGTGACCCAAGTCAACTTTCAGATCAGGGCACGGCAGACTGTTCCCTCAGAATGGAAGGAATGTTCACAGCAGCGGCTATGCAGTATCAAAATGAAGGTAATGATCATTTACCACTTCTTTCACGAAGTCCTGCATTGGTACTTGTTTTCCCCTCTTCTTTTGCTGCGTGTGAATCTCACTGAACAACTGTTGTGATGTTTCACGAATGCAGCTTTGGGACAACTTTTTAATCACTACGTCGAAACCTGGAGGTCTTGGTATCAACAGGCTGTTTCTATGTCACCGGGACCATTTTTTGAACCTCCAACAAAATCATGTGATTCCATGAAGAGCTCGTCGTGAAGTCACACATGCAAGTATTTGTGAGGTGAATAGAGTAGACATACTGGTTAGCTTTCCACCCAAAATCAGGAAGAAAGCAACCCACGATCAAGTTGCGAGTGCTTGTAACCTGCCTCTTGTCTCATGAACATTTATTACATCAGGCATAGTAGAACGAAGACAACATGTCTTCTAGTCTGTTGTACATTACATCCAAATAAAAGAGCTCCGATGATCTTGATGAACATGTTTTCATCCTGTCCCTATTCTAGTCCAGCACTGCCATAGGCGTGTGAGAAATATCACCCCGGCTAAGTGTGACGCTTGGTATTTGCTCCTTATTTGTTTCACGTCACAACCAAAGAGCCCGACTTCAAATGGATCAAAGCTATACAGGCAGGTAATATCAGGGAGATACTCTGCCTTACACTGGTCAATGACATTCAATCCGGGTGTGAATCAAAGTGAAACCCCATTGTCCATTGTACGTTCCTGAGAACTTTGTGACTCCAGAAAAGCTGAGTGGTTGATATGATAGTACACCATAAGATGTGTGATATGTTGCAAAACGAGGGTCAAATTGTTCACCGAAACGTACTCCAACCAGAAATATAAACCTGAATCGCAGAAATGGTTTGTTACCCCATCTGGAATAACTTGTCTTGAAAGATAGAGGGTGAACTAAAGTACGAAACCAGGTCTATATGAGCAACACATCTTCTTTGAAGAAAGCACAATGCCACTTCTCTTATTGAAAGAATTAGAAGTTCGAATCTGCTAATATCCAATGTATATAGCAGCATTAACGATATAGCAGTCGTCATTCTTGTCTCCCATCGCTTCTAAGGCCACTCCGCTCGAACAGATGAGACCACCATCTACGACATCAATATTTAAAATTTCCCCACTGTATAAACCCCCACAACAAGAGCGACTGATCAGTGATTCTGACAAAGCAACTTCCTAGTGCGTATGAGCAACACAATAAGCAGATAACAAGGGAAGGCAAGTACAGAAGGTGGATGCAATGGAAGTACTGCAGAGCTTACTATGGAAACACTGACTTCACTTGTTCCAGATCAAGTTCATGTTGTACAGAGTGAGGCACGCCTAGTTTCAACTTCAGCTTCATCTCTTGATAGCCCACTCCAGGAAGTGCTCCTGCAGTAAAAGCCGACTCATGCTAGCTTAGATCACCAAAACTGAATCGAAGGGAAGAACAAAAATATTGTTTCACATGTGTAACAATCCGGTAGGATTGTCCATGTACTAGTCCTAATCTTCAATCAAAGTAGAGAATAATTTTATCATCTAAGAGTTGGGTGATAAAAACAAAAACACTTCGCCATCGTGAGCTTTCTAGGCAAAGCAGTATGAACTTTCAAGCAAATGATCACGAGCTTCAAAGTTTTGCTGGATGTATGGCCAAATGACGAAATGTGTAGCTGATCATAATCGCCTCCGTTAGACTACTGCGCAGTAATTCTAGGACAAAGTAAGCATCGCCTTTAACTTTCACCACAGACTAGCCCAGAGCTCTGCAATTCTGTCATGAAAGGCTCGTCGTGAGCGCGACAGGGCCTCAGTTTTCTAAAAAATCAAGCTGACATTACTCTCCTCGTACTTAGAGGTGGTTTACAAAAAGATGATCAGCACCCGTGCGAAACGCAGGTATGGAGTTTGAGCTGATGGCGTTCTTGCAAGCCCGCATTGCTGCCGTCGTGATGTTTTGCCTGCCAGTGTGAGCAACGCAGTGTAGGACACCTCATAAAAAATTCTTCTCATCGAAGGAACCAATTCCAATAGAAACAGATGTATAATCCACTGCAATTCCTCATCCGCGTGCAAAGAGATGGTTTCCTCGAAGATTACAGCAGCTTAAAAAATCGACAGAGGTTGAGCAATCCCAGCGGAAACAACCAGCACGATAAAACCATATAACTTCATCGTCAGCAGCCGGTGCAAGACACAAGCACTGTGAAGATGCGGGAAGATTTACCCATGTTGATCGTAGCCCGTGCCCATCTCCACGAAGAGCAGCTTCATGCCGGGAACAGGCTGAATCGGTTGGGGCGCAGGTTGATCAGCGCTGGCCATGACGACGGAATTTCGACGAGGTGCCAACGAGCGCACGCACGGTGAGAACCAATTGCTTCCTGATTTCCACAACGACGCATTCTGCAGGAGCATCGGGTGTGCAAATCTTCGCCACAAATCTTCGCAAATCTTCGCCACAACGGCGACTCTGCAGCACAAATCGATGGAACTGTGGCCTTGCCACTTTGCCACTTTCTCTTTCGTTTCTTGTGTGCGACAAAATTCCGATCATCCTGTTGCAATTGGGCAGAGGCGGAAGCTTTTATGTGTTCAGTTCTTTCATCCTTACCGGAGACCGAGATTCTCATCCATATTTAGTTGTGTCATTTTCTTGGGGTGCTTTGTAGGTTATTTTACCATCTCTATTGATTGACTAAAAAATTGTAGAACTACATATGTTGTAGAAACATTATTGTGATCTCCGGATTAATTTTACTCAAGTTTCATTTTAATGGTTTCTACTACTAGAAGATTGAAATGTATCTACTCGTAAATGTTCAAATATATTCTCACATAATTTTTTCAATTGTCATTAAACATAAATTCTTATTTGCATTCTAACATATATTTGAATTCTGAATTTATTTATGAAACAATTTTTTCCAACTTTCTTAAGATTCTAACTCCTTTATCTCTTTATTTCTAATAATTCATATCCTCATCTATGATAATTATTATCTACTTTAGTTTCACTAAGATTAATTGTTATAGATATGATTAATTTTATAGACTTTTTATAATATTTTTTTATCTTTGAGTTAAGATAAATTAGTATTATTGAAACATTCATTTACCACTACGGCAAACTTTAAATTTAAATTAACCAATGAAAATCCTAGTATTTAATCAAAATGAACACAATGATAATCAATTATCTCACTAGAATTTAGATTTTATTTGGAATAAAATAATAAAAATGATTAATAAATTTTAGAAGTATCTTAATTATTTTAATAATTATAGATATAATATATATTTAGTCACAAACAACTGAATTTAATAATATAAAACTTTAAACATTCAACTCTTTGATTAATTCTATAATTAATTTATATATAATTTTATGTATGTAATTTCCTACAAATTTGAATCGAATGTTTTTGTAGATGGAATCAAAATTTTGTAGTTAACTATTAGTCCGTTGGAGTGTTTGATGTACCATTATATTTATAAATTACAATATCATCATCTTGACATTATTGTTGTGTGAAGTGCCTAAGAGTAACTATATTGGATTAGTTATTTATATCTGAACAAATGGAATCAAAATAAAAAATTAAACAGTATTATTTAACAGAATATGTTGAAAAAGATGATATTGGAGATTTAACTTGGTTTACACATCAAAAATTTTACACATCAAAAATTTGATGGTGTAGTATTAAAATTTTATCCTGTATTCTAAAACTTAAAATTTTTATTCTGAATTTGAGAGTTTTCTTTTACTTAATCTTATGGAATGATTTAATTAGTTGTAAGAAGATTGCCTATGTGCTCAAGAAGAAATTCAAATTAAGATGTTAATAATTTATCACATGATAATTTTATCAAACAAATGATTTATTTGGATGATGTTTAATTATCTAAAAATGCTGTATGTTGATTAGCAAATCATTGGATTTATCAAAAAAGACAAAATGAAAAATTATTTGTACGAAAGTCACAAAGTATTACTTCAAAAAGTTTAACAAAACAAGATGTTGGCTATGAAATTCGAGAAAATACTATAAAAATTTTTACTTGGTTAGAATTAAAGCAGAGGTTATTCAAGATGAGATTATAATAATTTTTTAGAGCACTATTGATCATTATGATTAGTAAATGTGTTAATTGACAACGACACGTTAGGAATCCATATGCTTGTTAGATAAAGATTGAGTGTGTTAGTTGAGAGCAACACGTCAGCAATATTTGTACATCTTAGCATTATCCCCCATGTCATTAATTCACTAGTATTGAAATGTACGATGGTAATGAAATTTTATTTCATTACCTACCAGAGTATTATATAAATAAAATACCCTGTTGTACTGTATAAGGAAGAGAAAACTATTATTGATATATCTCATATTTAGAGTTTTATTCTATCTTCAAATGAGTTTTTTTTTGTCTTAGTGTTACAAGTACAATATAAAAATGTCAAATACTATGGACGTGATAACCATATGCTCCGAGAGATATAAATCACAGTCAAGTTGAAGTCTACGGGTTTGAGCAAGACGTATAAACTGAAAGAATTCACCTACAATACCAACAACTAGAATTATATAATGGAGTAGATTGTGAGTATTGTTATATGATATTTGCAATCTTCAAATGTGAAATAAACGAATGAATACATTTTATTATTTGATGTTCTGATTGCAAAAGAATTTCAAACAAGTTCTATGATTCATAGATACCAATGAGCTCCAAGATGAAAAATATTGTCACAAATATCCAAGATTACATTGATATTTTTGATGATTTTATCATTGATTTTTATGATTTTGAACAGTTGATACGTGATGAAAAAAAATCCTTTATCTCTTGAATTCATTATTTGCATCTTATTAATTATTTTAACTAGCACTACCTCATTGTTATATAAATACAATGTGATACAAGATTAGTCATATTGACAGAATGAATAGGATTTTGGATTAATGGATACATTCAAGTGTATGAATAAATTTTTAAAAAATAAAAAACAATAATTTGTCAAAAATGTGACAAGAGTTATCAATATAATATTAGCCAATTTTGTTCAAAATTTGATTTTCTTGACAATGAATTATGATTTTAAAATTATGCCATATGCATATCATCAAATAATATTGATGATGTATAAAATCCAAATAATTCTTGTTTTATATCATATTTGTTACATTAGATAGTTTTTTCACATGTTTTGAATGTCTAACAATCTTGTGACTATTAAAGAAAATAAAACCATAGTTTAAAAAAATATTTGATTTGTTAAAAGTCAAAAATTTGATACATATTGACTTAAATCATATTTATGCATGATATGCATTTTTTTTGAAACACTAGATTTCAATGAAGCTTTTATATAAAAGGTGAAAATATCATGTTAAGAATACAAAATAACAATAATCTATACATGATGAAGAGTAGTACAATTTGTGGTGAATTCAATTTTACTACATGTTCAATTGAAAGTTCGTATGTATTACATTTTAAGCTAGATCACATGAATAACAAGTACTTGATACTTTTGGATTAACCAATTTTATTATTTTGTATATATAAAATTAACTTAGAGTTTTGTAAACATTGGGTTAAAAGCACACATTAAAACAAAACCTTTGGTGTTTAATTGAAAATTTCAAAGATTATTTGAGTATTATACTTGAAAAATTATTCAATACTTGACAATGATTTAAGATTTGTGTGGATTTATTCTGTTACGCAAAGGTTTGAAATTTTTACAACTTTTAAAAGTTGGATAGTACAAACTGAGACTCAATCTAAACATAAAGTGAAATATTTATTTACAAATAATTGTGATGAAGATAATTTTAAATATTTTAAAAATTATTTCAAGATCAATAATTATAATCTTACCATAATTTAAACTCTGCAACAAAAAGTTATTTTCAAAAGTCTAAATGGAACAAGGTTGAAGGAGTGTAATATGTTGAATCAATCTAAATTATTACACGAAGCTTGAATTGAAGCTATTTATAGCACAATATAATTCATAAATATTCTTATATCTAATACAATCAAAATCAAAATTCATCGTTTGAATTGGGACACAAATACATGTTTAATTATAGTAATTAAGATTTTTTGAGTCAATATTTTAACCCATTAGAATCAAGTAAAATAACATTATGTTGGATCAAAAATCTAAAAATTGTCAAGGTGTGAAGGGTTTGTGAAGTTCAATAATTTAAAGATAATTGTTAGTATGAATATTTGTATAGATGAAAAAATATCATTAAAACATTTGATAATCTTTTTGAAGCTTTCTATATTGATAATAACAAACTTTCATTAATGAATGTTGCTGAATGAGGAATTGATCATTATGAATTTAATGATTTGATACAAGCAAAATCTTTGGTATAAATGAATACAGTTTAGTAAACTATATATTATAATAGAAGTTTCTTGCTGATAATATTCAAATAACTTCAAAAGAAAATATTTATTAATCAAATTTTTTTACTAAGAGATAATCAAATTGAATGAATATAATCACTATACATTTTCATTATGGACTCATTCATCTTTAAAGATCTATGATGACATTGCATTTATTCTTGGAAAAAGTAGAGATTTTTTCTCATAAAGAAGTTTGATACTCTTGAATGAAATACTGCTATGATTGTGATATGCAATACTTGATAAATAATAAAATATGAAAACTAATGAAGCTTTCAAAGAATCAAATTTGAATTAATAGCAAATGTACGTGTAAGTTGAGTAATAATTAAACAGACGACCAAAAAATAATCTTCAAAACTAGATTTATGACTAGAGGTTTCACATAAAAGAAAGATATGAATTACAATAATATTTTATCATATTGTGCAAAATATGCTACAATTTGACTCGTGTGTGCACTTGCTGCAATATATAGTATGGTCATGGATTAAATGATGTAGTTTCACATTTTTTAAAAAAATTTTTGAAGTACAAAATCTACATGAAACAACTAGACTTCTTTTCAAAAAGAGGTCAAAAAATTTAATTTCAAATTATTCATTGGATTGAAGCAAGCTCATAAGTACTAAAATGCAAAGTTTGATGATTTTGAAAGTTTTTATATATATATATAACAACATTGAATAATGAGATCTTCAATCTCTTTATTTTAAATATCTACATGAATGATATGATGAGTTTAATAAAAATATCAATTCAAAGTTGACTGATGCAGGAATCAACTAAAGTTTTCATTTTATATGAATAATTTGAAAATAATAATGTATATTTTTTAATAATTTGTATAAAAAACTATGAGTAAGTCAAGTTAAATTTATATAATATGTGCTTGACAGATTAAAAAAGTATGGATTTTTGTGTTAGCATGCAGCTTAATGTTTAATTTATACCATTGAAAAAAAAAAGAATGTTAGAAACTTTTGATGACAAAATTTTTGGCAAACTTATATATTTATTGGTATGCATAAGATTTGATATAGTTGTAGCTATGAACATAATGAGCAGATGCATGTTATATTCAATATAATAGCAT